GACCTCCATCTTGGACACCAGGCACCAACGTCTCAGGGCACACTCCATTGGCAGTGCCTACACATACCCCATATCCGTAGATCCAAGCATTGGACATGTACCATCCTCTCCACATCATCAGGGCACATCTCCAATCCACTTACAGCATGCATTTGCACTGCTATGCTGCACAGTGGATTCCATTGGGACCTCTTATTGCAATGCTGCTACCAGGGCACTGCACATGAGGTACAGGCAACTGGCTTGCGATAGCTCAGGCTGTAGCACAGGGCTCCTTGCTTGCTCTGTTAGCATTCACTCACTTTGTGAATACTTGAATGCCCACAGCTTCTAGAACATTCCTCACCATTTTTGCGCTTTGCCCACTCACTGCCCTTTGAAGGCTCACAGTATTTCTGCCTTGCCTGCTGTTTAGTGCAGACACAAGACTAGGCAGCTTATCATGCTTGTCACCAGCCATCAGGTAATGAGTGTGGGCATGTTGCTTTTGGACACTGTGCTCCATCAATCTCATACCTACAGTATGTGCCAGCAACCAATGCATCAAATACGCTGCATGTGCTTCAACCAAATATCCATGCCTTATGTTTCAGAGTTCCAGCAACCACAGTTGCTTTTGCTTTTATTCAGCTTCTTAGTTTGGTGATTATTGATCACTTTTGGTGTCAGTGAATCAAACTGATGTATTGCAGTGATTGAAGGCTTCGCTGTCTGTGATGGTCCCACACTGAACAATGATAAGATGCTGGGCTACAGTGGGCATTGGGAAAATAATAGCAGGAACTTACATAGGGTTGTGAGACAGAATGTAGTTAAAGATGGGTAAGCTGCGGTGACCTGTGCTTACACAGTGATTGGGGTAGGAATGTGCAGCTGTATGTGCAAGGAGATGTTAACATATTGTCTACATGCTGTGAGAAGCATTGGTTTGTGCCATTACACGCACAGTGAAGAACAACGCCAGATGGTCAGAAGTTGTTTCCGTGCATGGTTGAGGGTCAAACATGGTGCCAATGCCAGAGATCCCAGGACATCCTAGTAGTGATGAGTACTTCCATTATGCATCTCTAATTCTTAATGAGTTAACAGTTGCCCACAAAGAGGTCTGAGATTGATGCCAAATGCAGGAGAACGTCATACTAACTCACTAAGGATTTTGCTGCAGAACACCGATAATTATCACTACATCGCTGAACTGGGAGCTCTTCATGCTCATCCAAGTTATATTAGAATCATAGAATTTTGCAATGCAGAAGGAGACCATTCAACCCATCATGTCTGTACCTGCTCCTGATAGAGCTACCCAGCTAGATTCACTCTCCAGCCCTATCTCTGTAAACCTTTAACTTCACCACTTTCAAATATAAATCCAGCTCTCTTTCAGATCCTCTTTTGGAATTCGCCTCCACCACTGGCCCAGGCATTGCATTCCAAATCCTAACAACTCTCTGAGTAAAGAAGTTTCTCCTCATCTCACTTCTAGCTCTCTTGCCAAAGATCTTGAAATTGTGACTCCTAGTTACTGACATACTAACTAGTGGAAACAGGATACCCCTCTTTACACTGTCAAAATTGTTCACAATCTTTCCTTGTATCTAAAATCCCATATTCTAATATCATTCTAGAGAACCTCCTCTGCACTGTCTCCAGGGCTTTAGCATCCTTCTTTAAATAAGGTACCCGGAACTGAACACAGTGATTGGGGTAGGAATGTACAGCTGTATGTGCAAGGAGGTGTTAACATATTGTCTATATGCTATGAGAAGCATTGGTTTGTGCCATTACACGCACAGTGAAGGAAAACTCCAGATGGTCAGCAGTTGTTTTGGTGCATGGCTGAGAGTCAAAGGTGGTGCCAATGAACTGAATGCAGTCTGACTAATAAGGTGTAGTATCGTTTCCTTGTTTTTATACTCTATCCTCTATTTATAAATTCAAGGATCCTATAAGCCTTCTTAACAACTGTTTCAACTTGCCTGGCTACCTTCTGAGAGTTATGCATGTGAACCCCAAGGTTCCTTTGCTCCTGTACTCCCCTCAAATGTGTAACTTTGAGCCTAAATTGACTCTTCATTTTTTTTCTACCAAAATGCATTATCTCACACTTCTCTGCATTGAGTCCCATCTGCAAGGTGTCTGGCCAGTTGGTCAACCTGTCAGTCAGCATAAGGACCACTGATAGCCTGACGGTGGCTACCTAATTTCTTTTTCTGCAATTGGCCACTCATTCTCTTTAATATTGATGAGAAATGCCTGCAATGTGTCTAAGGTGCTACATCACAAGATGGCTGTCCAGCACGAAGTCACTGGCAACCTGCAATACAATGTGAAGATGAAATAGACAGTTTAATTTTTAAAAAAATGCCTTTTCTTGCAAACCCCACCATGATTGCTCCTATATCACTCTAGGCCTTTTGATAAGGTCTTCCTATATTGAACAATCAGCATGTACTTTAGATGGTCAGTAGCTGCCTCCAAGTCATAATTAATAAATGTACAAACTGTCAGAGAAATATGCAAGTGAGCTGATCTTGTGATATTGAGTAAAGTCATCTCAATTTTTCATAGGACTACAGAACCTCTCAATTATGATGACACTGAGAAACCGTATTATTGATCCCGGAGAGAGAAGTTGCTGACAATGGTTGAAAGAAGGATCGTTTAACATATCTGTAGCCTTTATGTTCTTGAACAGTCTTGGGCCTGATGGAGACTTCAGAGGAAAAGAAATGTTTGGCATGATAAAGTAAACCTGGTGATCATTGCCAAGCATTCTGCCTGGTGGTGAATGATGCGTTGCCCACTTCTTGCTGATAGCGTGCCTGTTCCTATTGTTCTCACCTCAGTCAGGAGGCAGATCCCGTTGTACAGAGACCAGGGTCCAAAGACACATGTAGATCTCCTGTTTCCCTTTTCAGAGAGGGTGGTGCACACAGTTCTCGCTCACTTCCCCAATATAAGTTGGAGCTCCCGTCGAGGATGAGCACAGAAAGTAAGTTTAAATTTTATGAGACTCGGGAAAAAATATAGAGAAACCTGGGCTGATGACACTTCCAAAACACTGACAGTTCTGGCCAGCCTATCTTCTAACAACCCTAGGACTGGCCAGGGCATCTGATATATTGGGATTTAGTGCCATTTTGCTACTCCGAGGGCACACCCAGCCACATTGATAAGGACAGTAAGACCAAAATGGAATGCTGCTAGTGACAGACTGCTGCACATTAGCTGAGAAAGCACCTCTTGTGGACAAAATCAACTGGCAAGTCTCTTTAGCAATTGAAGTATGAGAGCTTACTTCAGGCAGAAATAGTAAGGCCAAAACAGATGAAAGACTAAGATTTAAACCTTTAAAGGTAGCTATTTGTCATTTTTTTCAGTGACATTTGAAGAGCAGGGAAGAAGTTGAAATGCCAAGATTCAACATTACACTGCATGAGAACTCAGAATGGTGCTGAAGGAGGCTGATAAATATACAGTGGGATTATCGGGCAAAAAGGTGATGGCATTAGATGTGATTAGTGGAGGTCATTGACGGTTTCTGCTTTCAGATGATACAAGGAATGGATTGCTGCTGACTGTTACCATTTACTGAAATACACTGAAATAACGCTCAAAAGTTTAACAGACATGGCAAAGCAACTGCTATTCAATTTTAATGATGATAATTACTATTAAATTTAAACGAAGGAATAAAACACAGAGTAGGAGACTCCTGTTGGAGCTCCTCTGCTCTGCCTGTTCTTTTTCCTCCTTTTCCTTTTTTATCCTCTTTGTTTTTCATCTTTTTTTTCTATTTATTTCTTCTTCTCTCCCCTCAGCACTAGAGCTGACAGCAAGTCCAGAGCAGTGATCCCTTTAGCCCCAGAACACTGCTAGCTTCGAGCCCTGATGTAGTGCGTGGATTGCGAGCCCAGGAGCAGCTCATGGCGAAGTAGCCCTGGGGCATCGCACGGGCAGAGAGAGCAAGCCAGTAGCGCGAGTGGTAGCAGCCGGGAGAAGGCAAACTGTGGCAGCCAATGGTGAGCGCAGGGGCAAGCAATCCGAGGCTGCGGTGGAGAGGCTGAGTCCCAGAGCGATGGAGGGGCATGAGGGACACTCTCTGTGGCACGGTGTGGGCTCGGAAGCCTGAAGCAGGACTCTGGTGGCGGCATGCCATAGCAGTGGAGAAGGAAAGTTGGACTCTCTTTAAGTTGTCTTTCTTTTACGACTTTATTCTAAGTTAATGTGAATGATGCTTATGCACAGCGATGGTACACACCTTTCACTGTATTTTATATTGAAAACACGTGACAATATAGGGCAGTCAAAAAGAAAAGCTCTAAGAGCAGCACATGACAAAACTAAATATTAAATGTTCTTCAATCTTAACTCATTGTAAACCTTTTGCTAAAAACTGTACATGTATATAATTCATGTCTGTTTTATTTAAGTGGCATCAACCAACCACAAAATATCTAAAAAAGAAGCCAAGGAATGCTATATCTGGCCTTACTCCAAATAAATAAATTGTTTAGTTTGAAAAAAAAAAGAATCTGAAAGACCTCAGAATGATCCTAACTGACAGGATAGGGCTATTTATCTGAGTTAGTGACCTCCAAGAAGCAATGCAGTTGTGTAGCAATTCATTCTTTAAAACCAATAGCAGGCATTATACTATTCTGCATGCTGGCCATATGCAACATGAAAGGAAGACATGCTGGAGTTGGGAGATATAGTGAAGGCTCTGTTCTCTCTGGCAAAGGGTCCACAGTGAATCGTGTTTTTAAAGACCAATAAACTGCAATAAACTCTCTTATATCAATGGGCATTTAAGGGACAGGCAATGACTCATTGCCCTGACAGACCAATCCAGGAATTGGAACACAAGGCTTGTGATAATGTATCCCAGGGTCTGGAGGATTTGGATCACATCTGAGAACTCACAATGAAATCACAGTGAAACTATAACAAAACAGTAGTGTTTTGATCGAATGAAAAATTGTTTAAAGTTGACATACCTGTCCACAGGCGAGGCCCATTCCTCTTTCTCCCATGCCATGTGGGCAAGACAAGTTTAATTCCAAGGCATCGGCACCAGCATCCTACAAATGATGAAGAACTTGAGTGTGCTGCAAGACTATAAATGCAAATTGATTTCCTGAATAGATCGACTTATATCAACAGATCTTGGGAGTAATTACATCTTCCCTATAGATTGAAAGATGTAGCAGCTGGTCTCATACTTCAGGATTTGATGGGAACTTTGAATAAAGTGTCAATTTTATATTCTATTTCAAGATTTTTTAAGTTGGACTACTCATTTTTCTCTGTCTCTAAGCAGTATTCAGTCAAACAACATGTAACTCATTGGCATCTAAATGTATTGTCATCTCTCTAAGAAAATCTGCTTATCTGTAATGCTATGAATTTTAAAAATCAATTGTGAATCAGTTAAGGAAAATATTGTTGAGTCATATCAAATATGAATACAAGTACAATAATCTTAACATGACTTAATAATCACTTGGACATGCAGTAGAATTTTTTTTCTTTTTTTAAAGGCCAATGATTTAATTTAGTTTAAATGCTGCCACAGAAAAAAATGTTTAATGTACTGATATTTGATATGTCTTTCTGATGCTGCTCTCAAAATATCTCTGAAGTCAACCGTTTACTGTGGGATAGAGTCAAGCAGAGCTGTTGCGAATTTGGATAGAGTATTTATGGATTGGAAGGCAGGGCATTAGAATTTGATGTTTGTAAAATGATAAGGGGAAATAGTACGTGGTCCCTTTAAAACATGACGTGTTTTTTTCTAATCTTGGAGATCTTAAAAAATGTGCAGACAGCTCCTGAAATTGAAAGATTATATCACAAGGCTGATGGTTAGAAACACAGACAACAGTCTTATTTTGTTAGTAAGGCAACCACTTAATCAATTATCAACCAATTAATTTAAAACAGGCACTTATAGACTAAAAACCGATTAAAATTAAATTTGATGGCTTTAACAACCTAGGACCAATCCCATTGTAGGAAATTAATAGGCCATCAAGGGTGTAAAAGAAGACGGCATTTGAAAATTGGTGTGAGAGTCAATTGGCATCTGCCAAGAAAACAGCTCTCAGCTATAAAAGAAAGAATCATTGGCTCTCACAGAATTCTATAAGCTCTCAGATAACCATCGCCTAAACTAAAGGTACAGTGGCAGTCTTAGCTAATGTCCCTGACACAATAACTTGATGGAGAGAGCATTCATGACTGAGGATCAGCAGAGAGGGTGCTGAGCATTCTAGAAGATGTATTCTGGCTGTAATTTTGAGAGATTAAGGTTTAATTTTTGTTATTATTTTGGTTTATATAAGTGGCAGTTATATTTATGGAACAGCATACCATTGGAATTTTGTTTTATTTGGGAATAGTTAGCAGTTAAGGGGGCATTGTTTGGTTTGTTAGTCGTTCTGTTAACTTGTTCACTGTTAGAATTAGATGAAATAAACTGTTACTTGTTGATTATGGAGTGACTGTCAGGAGCTGATTTCATTTAACCTCTCCTTTACAACAGATGGCGGGGTGAGAGGCAGGTTATACCACTTTTCAGATTTTCCTTAAAAGATTATGAAGTGAGGTCAGCTTCTCTAGGTGTTTTGGTTTAGTTATAAAGGTGGGGTGGGGGAGTGTAACCCCTCTTTGTAACAGAGGCCAAGGATTTTTCTTGTTAAGAATTAAGGAATGTTGGTGGAAAACCATTGTATTTTCTTTGTTTATTGCTTTCTGATGCAGTTTGCTGCTGCAGTTTTGATATTGAAGAGGTATCAGCACTGTCTGCAGGTGCATTGCAACCAAAATCCCAATAAGGAAAGGAAATAGAGAGGCTGCGTTTGGGACAGATACTTAAGGAACTCATATGACGATGTGACTTGCCGAACTCTGTCTAATCAAACCAAAGTCACAGGAAGATCATCATTGAAACACTTCTAAGGTTGGCCACTGCATGTCCTTGTGAAGATGATTATTTCTTCATGGTAAGAAAATGTTCCATTGTGAGCTTGATATTATCATACCAAGTGAGACAGGCCTGAATTGGAACTAGCAATCCAATCTGTGCATTAGTGAGATATTTAAGTTGCTAATAGTCAGCAAAGTTCTAAACCATCACACCCATAATGACATGGCCAAGGTCTTCCTTCAGCCCTTGTTCAGTGGGGAGTGTAATAGACCAAGGAAAAGAGCAATACCGAACATACCTTAGAAAGAAATACCAATCTATAAAATTACTGAGTAAGGCTGTTGACAACTTAAGCATCTTCTCTGGCAATTGGTTCTTGGTTTTTTTTGGATCAAAGCTTAGAGTAGGGTTAGGGTTACGCCCATGGAAATAGGATTAGAGACAGGGAGCCCATTTAAATAGGATAGAGCCAAGGTGGAACAACTCCCAATGCATTCCCATCTATGTTTTAGGATTTTTCAGAAGGCATCCTTCCTTGATGTGTCCTTGCATTTTCCTGTGTATGTTGGCAACATCCATCTCTCCTGTTGGGGTTTCTGGCTGCCTACAACATTGGGCATTCTGATCGATGTTCCCACCTAATTGGATGGGACTTCCTAAGGCACCTTGTCAACCAGCAACCCCGGGAAGATTGTGTGGGCCTATGGAACTTGGATACCATTTGCATTGGGACTCTCATAGTCCTGATGTTTTCATTCAGCTAAAATTCAGCCTCGAGCATCAGTGAGCTGATTATTAGTGACCATGCGCCCTAATGGCCCTATTTTTTTTTCTTGCTGTTTTGACACCCAAGCCCAAACCAATCTACTGAGCAATATTCTTTGGTTCAGAATGAACATGGTACATGCTACTGGCCATATTGGATACTTTGCTGTCAGTTCTCATGTGGATCAATGGATTCAGTGCCAAGAATTTCTAGGTCTTTGTCTCTAAACTGTCTAAACTAATTGAAATAAATTTGGAACACATCTGAACATAGAATTATATGGATATTATATCTCTGTGTACCTGTGTATATATATAAGTCTGGCTGCAGGTATACATTTTTATTTCCTCAAACTGATATGCATTAGAGATGTGAAAAATCACACCTCAAAGCAACAAACAGCAATGATAAAGTCATTCATCAGTCAGCATTTTGATAGTAAGGTCCAGGCTAAGCCAGAATTTTGCGATAGATTTCATCATCAATTAAAATGGATCAAGAGCTCAAGATCACAAAACCAATTACTAAAAACGTTTAATTTAATTTCCCATTCGTAAGCTCTCTTCAAGCTGCGACTTTGTACTACAGTCTGCAAGGTTCACAGAAAAATAGCCAGCAATTTTGAGAATCATTATTAAGGGTATTTGCAGTTAATAGCTCTAACATGAGCTAGATAAAGCTAATATTCTGAGTTTTTGAAGATCCTGCCTTTGTTATAACAGAAGCGGGTAGGTTCAAGGCTGAGGATGGCTATATTTTAGAAACTTTACTTGTTAATCTTAGGATTTATATATCGGTAACAAGAGACACAACATGGGAATAATTGCTTACTATCTCCCTTGGTTGTGATCAGATGTACATCACACGACAGCAATGAAATTAATTTATTTTAATTCCACCTCCATTAAAAGGGAAAACCAATGGCTGCCATACCTTAATCTCTTCCACGCCTGCCTATACCCATAGCCCTCAATCCTGTGATGTCACATAACCCCATTATTTCCAATGTCTCCATCAAAACTTTTTACTGTACTTAAGTATAGGTAACAACAGTAAATCAAATCAAATCAAATCACAGACAAGACAATCACAGGTTACTTCCTTGTATCCCTCATCATTCGCATTCTCATTCCAACCTCAATTGTTTCAGCATCCTTCACTAAAATTTGCTCTACTTCAAGTCTCATAGAATGAAGCTTTCAAAATCCTATGTAATCTTTGGCCCTCAATTTGTCACAAGATTTCTTCATCATTACTTTTATTGACCATATCCTCAGAAAAGCCCTTAATCTTTCCCAGTCTGGTCATTCATCTTGGTATGTCCTCCAATCTGTTTCATTCAGTTACAGAATAATAGAGTCATGCAGCATAAAAACAGGCCCTTTGGCCCACCATTTCTACGCTAACCAACAAATGTCAACTACACTAATCCCATTTGCCTACAATTGGCTCATAGTCTACAATGCCCTGGCATTTTAAGTGCTCGTCTATTTCATTTGAAGTATAATGGAACACAACAACTTAACCATTTGTTATGTCTTGTAGTTCTCAGATGTTAGTTTTCATCACACTTTTATCCTCAAGTGCTGGAGGTTTATCAACTGTATTTCTTGCAGCTCTACATGAGGCTGGTGGTTTGATACTTCATACACTTGGCAGCATAGTGCAGTTTTGAATGAATGGCATTCTGATTATACACATAAACCCTCATATGAAAAATATAGTTCCTAAATCATGTTGGAACGGATGATCACATCACAACAATCATCGCCAAATTTGGTTGGATCGCATTGCATTATATTAGATGTGTCTGTTTAAAAAATGGCATATTCTCAAAATAATGACCCTTAAGATTTGCAAGTCCATAATATTAGAAAGTTGGAAAATATAAATCCAAATTTAAAATAATGGGAACAAAAAGCTGGCATAATTTAAAACTGTTGAATGGTTGCTTTAAAAAAAGAACTAACTAGTTTCAGTTTTTTAGTTTTCTTCAGAAGAATGAAATCTACAGACCTTACTTAGTCTGGCTGATACATGAGCACTATGTAAACATGGTTAACTCTTTTAACCTCTGAAGTAGCCGAGCAAGCCACTCAGTTAAATGTAACAAAGAACTGCACCTGGACTACATGCTTTTCAAGACTACATGCTTTTCAACGATTTTTACACGACCCATCCACCCATATTTTGTGACTGTTTTTTCCACCTGTACATCATAAACAGTTCCTTCACAAAAAGTTCATCTTAATTTAGTGGATCAGTACCAACTAAAACTGAAATATCACAGTATTTACATAATTAGTACATTCTATCCAAAAACGTACAATATGAAGCTTAGTAAAATGTTAAGTGAGTCTCCAATGGAATAGCAAATAGTGAAATAGAAACCCAAAGACCTACCTCTGCCATTTTTGAAAGTTCTGTCCAATCATTCTTGTTGTAAGTGCACATGAGGCTGGCAATAACAGTCTAAAACAAGAAATTTGATGATATATTCGTTAAAGTAGCATTTACAAAATATTATCTGAAGATAGTTTTTGACTAATAAATAAATAGTAAAGGGGTAGTAAGAACTGCCAATGCTGGAGTCAGAGATAACACAATGGGCATTTCTGAAGAAGGGTCCCGACTTGAAACGTCAGCTTTCCGGCATCTCTGATGCTGCCTGGCCTGCTGTGTTCCTCCAGCTCCGCACTGTAATAAATAGTCAACTTCTTTTTCAGGGTGTTATAGTGTCACACAACATAGAAATAGGCCCTTCATCCCACCATTTCTATGCCAACCAACAAACACCAAACTACAATAGTCCCACTTACCTGCACGTGGTACGTAGCCTACTATGCCCTGGCATTTTCAGTACTCATCCAGATGCTTCCTAAATGTTGCAAGAGTACTTGTTTCGGCTATCCTGTCAGGCAGCAGGTTGCATATATCTATCACTCTCTGCGTGAAAAAGTTTTTCCTAAGATCCTCCCTACACCACTTATTCTTCACCTTCAACTTATGCACTCTGGTCTTGATAGAGTCACAGAGCAATATTGTTTTAATGTATAACTGATTGTTTCAACCTCATTGTGCCCCAACTCCAAACAGCCTACTTCTACTTCCTTTGCAAAATCCATGAACAAGAGTCTCTTTGCTAATTCATTGTCTCAGCATCTTCCTACCCCACTGAACTAATTTCTTCCGCTGTCATCTCCACATTTTTCTCCCCATATCCAACTTTACCAGCATACACCTGTGATTCTTCTGACACACTATGTGTAACTTCAACACTGTCCAGTTTCCTTACCCTAACCATTTCCTTTTTACCATGGGCACCTAATTTATCTATATCTCCAGTCACCTATTAGGACAGACATAGAGTTCTGTTCTGACAAAGGGTCACTGAACTGAAAATATTAACTCTGTTTCTCTCTCTACAGATGCTGCCAGACCTGCTGAGTTTCAACAGCATTTTCTGTTTTTGTTTCAGAGCCCTACACTACTCCCTTGAGCAGAGTTTGAACGTGTCTCCATCCACTGCCACAATAGACTGAATGGGCTCCTTCTATGCCGTCATCATTCATTGATTCAATAATTCAATGGACATGGAACTGTGTGATTGAGGCAAGAGTTCTATTGGTCATCTACAATTGGCATCTACCATTATTTGCTCAGTACCAAGAAGGACACTGAATATAATTGTTATTGCCAATTCACTCTTTGTATGTACGCTGTATTGTGACTGACTTCAATATTCTAAACAAAACAATCAGATTTGATTTTGCAGATAGATTATTCAGTTTTAGTAATGTGACTCACTTGCTCACTCTGTCAATTTCCCTATGCACTGCAAGTTAATTATTTCCCCTGCCTTTAAAGCTATTTTCCATTCCTTTTGCTCTGTTCTGTCGGTGCGGGTAACTTTTATCATCCACATTGCAGTATAAGTCACCCTCCAAATCGCTAACCTTAGTGATTTTGAAAATGATTACTGCCCTTGAGGCTAACCTGCTAAATCTGCCAAGTGAGTGCTCAGCATTCTTCTGACGACAGTGAAGAATATTGGTGACTTCTGACCTCTTTTCAAATTGCAAATCTAAATCTTAAATTAGAACTGGATACAAGGGCTTGATTTCCTTCTTTAGGGTCAGAAGAAGCAAAAATGGCACCAGCAGTGATCCAAATTGTTCTAATTACAAAAGAACAAAAGAGAAGTACGACACAGGAACAGGCCCTTAAGCTCTCCATGCCTATGCCAATCATCATGCCCTGACTAAACTAAAATACAAACCTTCTGCCCTTATTCGGTCCATATCCCTCTATTTCTTCCATATTCATGTAACCATCCAGATGCCGCTTACATGTATGTTGCCAATGTGCCTGCTTCCACCACCTCTTCTGACAGTGCATTCCAGCCTCCTACCACTCTCTGTGTGAAAAACTTTTCTCGCACATCTCCCTTAAACTTTTGCTTTCTCACCTTGAACCTGTGCCCCATTGTAATTGAAACTTCAATCCTAGGAGAAAGCCTCTGACTATCCATCCTATCTACGCCTCTCATAATTTTGTAGACCTCCATCAGGCCTCCTCTCAGCCGCTGTCCTTCCAGTGAAAACAATCCTAGTCTTTTTAACCTTTCCTCATAGTCAAATGCCCTGGAGGCCAGGCAACATCCTGGTGAACCTTCTCTGTACTCTCTCCAAAGTTTCCACAGCCTTCTGGTAGTGTGGCGACCAAAACTGCACACAATGCTCCAAATGTGGCCTAATAAGGTTTTTATATAGCTGCAACATGTTTTGCCAACTCTTGTAGTCCATGCCCGGCTGATGAAGGCAAGTATGCCATATGCCTTCTTAATCACTTCGGCTACCTGTGTTGCCATTTTTAGGGAACTGTGGACCTGCATACCCAGATCCGTCTGTATGTTAATGTTCCTTAGGGTTCTTCCATTTACAGTATAATTCACACCTCAAATTGATCTTCCAAAATGCATCACTTTGCATTTGTCTGGATTAAACTCCACCTGCCATTTCTGTGCCCAAGTCGCCAATCTATCTATATCCTGCTGTATCCTTTCACAATCATTGGCGCTATCAGCAACTCCACCAATCTTTGTGTCATCAGCAAACTTGCTTATCAGACCACCCACATTTTCCTCCAGATCATTTATAAATACAAAAAACAACAGAGAACCTAAGATTGATCCCAGTGGAACACCACTAGGTACCGGTCTCTATACTGAAAAACACCTTTCCACCATTGTCCTCTGTCTTCTATGACCAAGCCAGTTTTCTATCCATCTAGACAGCCCTTCCCGGATCCCATGTGATTTTAGTTATTGTACCAACCTGCCATGTGGGACTTTATCAAAGTCCATATAAACTACATCCACAGGTCTTCCCTCATCAATTATCTTTGTCACCTCTTCAAAAAATTCGATCAAGTTGGTGAGACATGACCTTCCCCATACAAAACCATGCTGCCAATTGCTAACTAGTTCATTTTCTTCCAAATGTGCCTATCCTGTACCTCAGTATCTTCTCCAAGAGCTTCCCCACCACAGATGTCACACTGTAATTTCCTGGATTATCTGGGCTTCCTTTCGGAATTAGGAATTGTAGAACATACCAATGAGGCCACTCAGTCCATCAGGCTCACTTAGTCACCTCCTATTTCAGCCCTCTGCTTCTTTCAAGCTGGAAAGACTCTGGTTAATCAAGCAACTTCAACAATATCATTAGTTTGACAGAACACAATTGGCTGGACAACAAGGTTCAGGGCTGGATGAACACAGCAGGTCAAGCAGCATCATAGGAGCAGAGAGGCTGACGTTTCAGGCCTAGACCCTTCATTTCAAGCCCACCGACTCCCACAGCTACCTAGAATACTCCTCCTCCCACCCACCTTCCTGCAAAAATGCTATCCCCTATTCCCAATTCCTTCGCCTCCGCCGCATCTGCTCCCAGGATGAGGCGTTCCACTCCCGTACATCTCAGTTGTCCTCGTTTTTCAAGGACCGTAACTTCCCCTCCTCGGTGGTTGAGAATGCCCTCAACCGTGTCTCCCACATCTCCCGCACCTCATCCTTCACACCCCGTCCACGCAATAAGAACCAAAAAAGAATCCCCCTCGTCCTCACGTACCACCCCCCCAACCTCCGGATCCAACGCATCATCCGCCGACACTTCCGCCATCTGCAATCCGACCCCACCACCAAAGACATCTTTCCCTCCCCACCCTTATCTGCTTTCCGGAGGGACCACTCTCTCCTTGACTCCCTTGTCCGCTCCACACTCCCCTCCAGCTCCACCACACCCGGCACTTTTCCCTGCAACCGCAGGAAGTGCTACACCTGCCCCCATACCTCCTCCCTCACCCCCATCCCAGGCCCCAAGAAGACTTTCCACATCAAGCAGATGTTAAAAAAAAAAAAAAAAAAGAAGGGTCTAGGCCCGAAACGTCAGCCTCTCTGCTTCTATGATGCTGCTTGGCCTGCTGTGTTCATCCAGCCCTGAACCTTGTTGTCTCGGATTCTCCAGCATCTGCAGTTCCTACTATCTCTGATACAATTGGCTGGACAGCTGGTTTGTGATGCAGAGCGACACCAATAACAGTTGTTCAGTACTCACACTGGCTGAGGTCACCATGAAGGTCCCACTGTCTCAACCTTACCCCTCACCTCAGGCATGGTGACCCTTAGGTTAAACTCACCACCAATCGTCTCTGTCTAGTGAGAAAGCAGCCTTATGGTCCTCTTGAACCAGTGGCAACTTTACCTTTATTTGGATGGAGATCCCGTCTCCAGGTCAAGTAAGGGCATGTGCTGTTGAAAATCATGGAGGTGCATTCAGGTTAGGGCTTGAGACCCAGTGGTAGGAAATTCTGGTGTTCGTACCATAGACACCATATTTCAACACTAGCTGTGCACTCTCAAATGCTGTCAGACCCGGGTCTGAAGTAGCCAAACAGGTTAGTGCAGTGTCCACTGTCCACGCTAATGTCATGAGAATGCCAAGATGGCCTTCTGTCCTCTGCAAAGATAAGAGCCACCATCTTCTTTATGCTGCCACACCCTTACTGTAACTTTGCACTCACCTCCCATCAAGGCTAATGGTCTAACATTCTCCCCGCAGCTCATGGCATTATCAATGGATTTTGCCCACCCCATCTGCCACAAACTACTAACTCTTCCTGCCCTCTGCACTTCCTACTCACTCACCCAGGGTATCTCACCACCTTTCCCAACTGCTAATAGTGCCACTTGACCATTCATCACTGCCAAACACAAGAAGCTGCTTGCCTATCTGTCTGTGCTACAAGGCAAGGCAGAGATGCTGTGAACATCCAAATTGGCACAAATTGCGCGAACATTAAGGAATCTTGTTTTGATATGTGTGATCGGTGTCTGACCCTGCTTGCACACCAGCCTTGCAGCAACGTTTCAATATAAGGCGTGAGTGAGCTCCTAAGTTCAATGTTGAAGT